TTTATCGAGGCAACAACATAGCTAGAAGACGCTAAATGTTTAGTTTCATTTCATTAGCTGGGTAAATTACTTTAAAATTATCTCACTCATAAGAGTTTCTGGCAAATTTTTGGACACGAGAAACTGAATATGAACAGTTTTGGGCGTACGCTCTGGATCAAGAGCCAAGCAAAGTTTCTTGAAGAGTAAATGTTTTGTATCGCGGAATCACAGTTTTCATCACCATCTTACTTCATCGACTAATCGATGAAGATTATTGTCATTATCTTGATAACATTTCACTTACATATTTATGTAATTTCTGTGGTCAGATACCTGAAAGAAACTTTGTTTTTGTGTGCTTTTAGGCGAATAAAGCGAACACTCGCGTTATCGATCGACAAAGTAATTGTTAACAATTCTTATTAATGCTTTTGTTTCCAGTTGTGAACGTTTTCTTTTGTGATATCTTGCTTGCTTGTGTGCTTTTGCTGTAGTGATTCGTTTATTCCAGCTTATATTATAGTTCACTTTTTCGATGTTGTACATGTTACGCCATTCAGTTCCCCTCTGTTGTTTTTCATTTGCTGCGGATTTTCGTTTTAATTTCGAAATTATTCATTCTTGATCCAGTTTTTTGACATATTTCAAATCGATTCAATGTGAAACTGCAAGTTTCGTGAACCATGGAAGTTTTTTCAACCAGAAATTTCTTGTTTCCAATATGACGAAATTGTTTGGAAGAATTAACTGGATGTTTTTAGGTTATCGTTTTGGTTAATTAATAGGTTATCTTCTTTTCAAAATATCCATCCCACCCAAATGCTAATAATAAACTTCCTCAAAGTCCATTTACACAGTTCGCTTCAGTCGGTGTTTTTGCCCTCAAATTGCACACAACTGTTGTCCGTTATGTGACACTGTCATAGATCGCTTAGCTTACGGTATGATTAAGCATTCAGATTGTTTAATTAAGAGTTTTGACTTAAACAACGAACGCTATGTGAATAACGTCAATGTGTAAGTTCATTAAGTGCGCTATTTGATTATTTTAGGTTGTGTGTAGAGATGAATGAAGTTCGTCATTGAATCAATGAATATTTTCAGATGATCAGTGTGATGCCACCAGCAAAAGCGGTAAATAATATCAGCATTCAGCAAGCAGATCGTAATCAGTCATCAGCTGATATGTTGGCAAATGATGCTGGTGAAGGGAATTCTGAAGAAGGACAATGTTTCTGTCATTTCAGGCGGAATCGTTCTCCTTCATTAGATGAAATTCTCAAATCGAATCATGTTCAGTTGGAGAAACTAAGATGGGGGTTACCAATTGAACCGGCGCCGTGATATTTGTAATAGTAATGACCACGGGTGTGTTAAGAAGTGAACTGTATAAACGATTCATTCGATTAACTAAATTATTTGTTGATTAATTAACAAGAATGTCTCTTATGTGATGTTTTGTCGCTTATGTTCACGAAAAGAGTATAATTCATTATTTTCATCGCGTGTTTAATTCAAACACTTCTTCGAGCCTTTCAGTATTAATTATACTCTGGGACCGATTTTTGATATCGGTTTTGAGAAAAAAACTTTTCGTCATCAACTTTCTTATCTTTATTAACACTTTTGATAAGCGATACCATTGGCATTGAATAACTGTAGTATTGCTTATCAATATAATTTGATTGATTGCTAATTTCACTTGCATTGTGCGTGCCAAGCAGTCTTATCTACTTTTTGCATACAGCTTATTTGTTGTGCTTATGGTTTGTGTTCGATTTATTCGCAATGATTTTTGATCACTTTTAATGATCACTCTAAATATCGTTCAAAACGTTTCATTGTAATCGTGATCTAATCGAAGGATGAATAGAAATGCCGTGCATTGAAAAAAAACGAGGTTAATGTAATTGTATATAATTGAAATTGAATATAGGTGTTGTTTAATAGTGTGACTAAACAGTTGTAATTAGACTGATCAAATATTTGATAGAGATCAGATATTGGTAAGTGAAGGAAAGTTGTGGTCAGTTTAGATATGTCATATGTCTGATTGAATTTGCATAACGTGATATTGATTTCGAGTTGTAAAGCGTTGATATTGTTACATTGACATGTTATACGAAATTATTTCTCTATGAATTTCCATTTCGTATGATTCATATTCTTTGGAATTGGTTGTATTGTGCATAATTTTGGTTCATTCCTTCTTTTGCGTTCAATTGGAAATATTGTAAAGGAACCCAGCATTTCAACTAATGAAAAAAAAAAAAGATAACAGTTGAAATATTATGACCTTTTCCGGATGTAATAGCCTGTCATCATTAGAACCATTCAGTTTACTGATATCCAACTTCCCAACGTTTGTTTCTGTTTTCGTGTGCTTTCCGGCTGGTTTCCGGCGTTTTATCTCGAGCAACTTTTTTTAACTTCTGGCTCCGTTGTACCTAACTTGTTTTGTTTCGTTCGCTTTTTGTTTTATCAGATCGTTGTTATTTTCTGGATACAATCAGAAATTCATTGATCAAATTTGTTGGCTTTAAATGACAATCCATTCAAGTGCGCATTTCACTTACAATTAGCATTTATTCATACATCTTCAGTTAACATCTGTTGTATATTGTCGGTAATAAATTCATATGATTTGTTTGTCTTTGACGTCGGTCACACACTAAATCCAATGGTATTGTAAGTTATTTCCGTTCGTTAAGTCGTACTTGATGTTTCTGTCCGAGTAATAGTTTATTTCTTATGTTGCGATTAATTCCAAAAAACTGGATTGTGATTACGGTTTTTAGTTTGATTTGAATTGATTTCGTATAATTTCGGTATCATCAATTTGAGTGATCAGTTGATGATCGTGGTATGACTTTTTTGTCGGAGAATTGTTCGCTGTATTAAGCTGATTTCAGTTACTTTACAGGGTAATATAAAGATAATATTCTCATTATAACATATTAATCATATTCTAAGGGATGTTTGACATATTGTTCCAGTGTGGTGTCGTGAGTATTTTAACAATTTGCATATATTGCATCAAAACGTCTCCATTAAAAGCGTTTATGCTATCATTTCTCATCATAACTATTCTCTGTTCTCTACCAAATATTTTACTCATTTTATTCTCGTTGCAACAACAACCAATTACGGTATTTCACTTCAACATTTAATTTGTTTCCTTTCTATTCACGTTTCTCGAACAGTCCACCAAAGCGTTTTCGAATCGTATTCACTAGTTAATAAATTTGCATCCAACCTCGAATACCATGTTCACAGGAGATTATTGCACACCAATCATTAGAGTGTTTCATGCTTTTTCATTCGTTGTTTTTGCTCGATGTGACAGCGTTCGTGTGTGCACGAGTGTGTGTTGACAGTCGACTAGAGATTCTNTTCACTAGCATGCGCATCGCACCTGTCAAATTATTGCAATGGATCGGCCGGGACACAATGTGTTGCCACTTAGCTGTGCGCCACACTGGACTTCATCAGCATGCTGTCCGCGAGCGCCAACGGTTTTTGCCTTTGAGTCGACGTCTGAGCCGTCGAATTTTGTCGGATTCCATCAAGACGGAAGCAGTGATGTTGTTCCGTGGTGGTTCAACGCTTGTTAGTGATTTCGTCAGGCAACTGAAGAGAATGCTGTGCTCATATGAAGGAAGCGGAAAGCGGGGATTAACCGATGTAAACATGTTGAATACCTTAAATATGAATCATCTTGAATGAATGTCTCGAATGCAAGACGAATGTTAGGTTTGTATTCGGAATGAACAAGTTCTCAACAGGGATTTTACGTTGCACAGGCACCTACGTGCAGTTGTTTTCTTTGTTTTCTCTGAATGATCTGTTGAAGTCGATTTGATCGCCTTCAAAAATCCATGCTTACTTTAGGCAAAAAAATTCTTCGCTGGTTTTCATTGTGGCGGTCATCGTGGCTCACCGAGAGTTGCACCCGAAAATACGATCGAATCTTTTGAGAAGGTTCTCACTGTTGTGTTTTTGGGGGCTTCTTTAAATCTATCACGTTTTATTCGTTACTTTAAATTAGTTAAAATTTACACAGTTTGGATCCTTATTACTAGAATCAACAACATTTTACCATAGTTCATTGAACGTACTCAGATGCACNCACAGTTTGGATCCTTATTACTAGAATCAACAACATTTTACCATAGTTCATTGAACGTACTCAGATGCACTCTTTTGTATATGAACTTTCAGATATTTCAATTACTAGTTAATTGTATTTATTAAAATAGAATTCGCTCAATTGTAAGATGGGAAAAATATTTCACTTTACAAAAGGGATCAGGAAACGACAAAAAATTAAGATATTTTTGTGAAGTTTGATTCGAACTTTATTGCTTATTTGAACTGAATGAATTATCAATAAAATGAAACAAATTTGAGGCAAAGCAGTCAAACGTTGATTTGATAGAATTTGATCTATCGCTGACAAAAGATGCAGTTGCCATCATTATGCATGACGATGACCTCGAAAGAACCTGTGCTGAGAAAACACCTGTTTCAGCATTGTTAGCACATGAAATCGTCACAAAAAATGCAGCAAAGAACTTCAAATTCGCTGAGTTCGTTAACTTTCGAACTTTTTTCTTCAGTATCAACAAATGCTTACTATTAGAAAGACGTACGCTGCATATTCGCACAATTAGTCATCAATGCGGTTATCATCGTACTATTAAAACTTTCAAACTCGTTCTTACTAAAATTATTCAGTTTTGTCCACAAAGCGATGTATCGATACAAAAGTTTCTTTGATCGAGGTGAAACTGAGGCCAAATGAAAGTTTATTTATCTATTACGTACTCATGATCTGATGTTATCTTTATGAAAACAATCGATGAAATTTATATTTGTTGCAATTTAAGTGGTAAACAAAAAATTTGTCCAGTTCCAACGTTAGAAGAGACAGTTAAATATGTTCGTGACTCGAATTTGAAGATGCTTTTTGACGTTAAAGATGGAAGTAAAGAGGTATGCATCACTTTTTCANTCGTGACTCGAATCTGAAGATGCTTTTTGACGTTAAAGATGGAAGTAAAGAGGTATGCATCACTTTTTCATTATGATCCTTTTCCCAATGCTGATCAGTTAATCTGATCGACAAATGAGTATTTCGACAGTTTCTTCAAAATTTTCATTTTGGTAGAATAATCAGTTCGGTCAAGTGACTTTATTGTGACAGTGTTGACTACAGCTTGAAGAAAGCAAGCAAACCAAACTATGCAATTATGACTCTGGCTGAAAGCGATCAATTTCTGGCGACTTAATCTGCGCAAGTTTCCAGATGATCTCACAAATAGTGAATGTGATATCAAAAAATAACCTCTACGACCAAGTTATTGTATCTTCTTTCTTCGCATGGGTTCCATATGCTGTTAAAAAGGCCGATCCTAAAATCCTTACCGGTTCGTTTCTTATTTTTACCATAACTACAACTATTATCTAGAATATGATCAATTTAATCGAATGAAGGAGTATTTTGAGAAGGCATTATTTTGTCATTCCGAAAGTCTTCGAAAGGGAAAAAGATCGGANATTTAATCGAATGAAGGAGTATTTTGAGAAGGCATTATTTTGTCATTCCGAAAGTCTTCGAGAGGGAAAAAGATCGGAAATTCAGTATAATAGATTTTCTGAAACCTAACCGTATATTGAAGAGAACCGCGCTGACATCCAATTTGGGATAGTACTTGCAGATTTCAATGCAGAATTATTCTTTCTCATTGTATAAGACGTTATTGTTGTTCGTATGATTTACTGCAAACTGATTCGTTCCGTTTGATAGGCGTCACATGGCGTCCGTACTTCTTTTCGTATAGTGACATCGAGAACAAGCATCCTCGATTCACGGGTTTGAAGCACTACTTGGCTGTTTTGTTGGATTGGATCAACGTGAAAATGATCCATTCATTCTTACCACAATTTGTTGGTGCTGAAATGGTACTCACTCAAGAACGTGACATTAATGGGTAAGACCAGTTGTGATATTCAGTCAATGCCATTAATATCCGCTTCAGTAGTGCAGTTATTCGAAGTTATCACGCTCTGTTTCAGCTTGTTCCTCACTCGTCAGTTTGTCAGACACCTTGTGAAATTTCGAGTAATCGTTCGCAAAATCGTTTCATTTATGAGGGTATCAGTGACCGATCAAGAAAATAGTGCAGCATTTTAGATTAATCATAGTGCTTGTTGTTGAAATTAGACTGGGTTGTTTATGAAAATGATGGCGATTCAGATGTTTTGTCGATGATATGCAGAAGAAAAATATACAAGTTGTTGCGTGGACAGTTAATGATCAGCGTCAAATGATGCATTTTGTTGATACGTTGAAGGTTGGTGGTGATTTTTTATTTCAGTGTTGTCCTCATCAAGTAAATTATGAAGTTATGATGAAAGTTTGCATTATTTATGCTCTATCGGAGTTAGGTTGGAATATTCAATGACCAGTTTCTGTTATATATATA